AGCAGGTCTTGCTCCCCAGTAAGCGTGCTCAAGTGCAAGGCGGCAGGCAATTAAAGGTGTGCTCCGTTCCCATCCACGTCCACAAAAACGAGGCACACCCGGCGGTTCCAAAAATGTGCCAGGTGAGCTGCTCCTTGAATCGGCTTCTCTCCCTCCACCACCCCACCCGGCTGGCTCTCTTCCCAGCTTTGAAGAGCTCTTCTCCGGACCTGGCACGAAAATCCATTTTTTTGGCCTTGGAAGGATCGCTGCCGTCCTGAGCAAGGAAAGGGTTAAGAGCTCTGCGAAGGGCCACTGGAGAGTCTCCGGGCTGGAGGAACAACCCTCCTCCTCCTCCTCCTCCTCTTCCTCTTTGCCTGCCAGGAGCAAAACCCTGTCATGCAAGCCAGCAATTACCGGTCTGCCTGAAGAGAACATCTGGGAGGCCTCTGCAACAGCTGGCTCGTTGGTCTAGGGGTATGATTCTCGCTTAGGGTGCGAGAGGTCCCGGGTTCAAATCCCGGACGAGCCCTGCTTTTTGTCCCGGCAACACAGGCAGAGAGGCAGAAAGGAGTGTGTGTGTGTGTGTGGAAATAAAATTTCATTCCCACATCTACCTTCTAATCCAAGCCAACCTGTTTCCCTCTGCAGGACAGACTTGTAAAAAGTACGCTGGGGAGCGTAGAAGTTTTGCAGATGAATTCTCCTTTACTTAAGGTCGATTTAGGGTTGCAGTTTTAGAACCGGGGTGCTACTGGTGCCAGCTTGGTGTAGTGGTTAAGAGCAGCGGACTCTAATCTGGGAGAGCCGGGTTTGATCCCCCACTCCTCCACATGCAGCTGCTGGGGTGACCTTGGGTCAGTCACAAGTTCTCTTGGAGCTGTTCTCTCATGGGCAGTTCTCAAGAGAGCTCTCTCAGCCCCACCTGCCTCACAGGGTGTCTTGTGTGGGGAGGGGAAGGGGAAGGAGTTTGTAAGCCACTCTGAGACTCCTTTGGGTAGTGAAGGGCCATGGGGTATAAATCCAGTCTCCTCCTCCTCCTCCTCCTCCTCCTCCTCCTCCTTCTTTTTTGGAATCATCACTGTTTTCTGCCAGTAAGGTAGGGAACCTGCAGGAGTTATTTGAGAGCTAAAATATTTATTTATTCATTCAATTCAATTCAATTCATTTGTACCCCTCCTTTCTCCTTAATGTGGAACCTAAACCAGCGTACACTGTTCTCCTTTCCACTATTTTTATCCTCACAACAACCGTGTGAGGTAGGGTGAGGCTGAGAGAGCGTGACCGGCCCAAGATCACCCAGCGAGCTTCTAGGGCACAAGCTGGGATTTGAACCTGGGCCTCTGAAATATAGTCTGACACTCCCACTGCACCACACTGGCTCTAAGTGGCCAACTCCAGGCTGGGAAATTCCTGGAGATTCGGGGCTGGGGGGCTGGTGGCTGGGGGAAAGCAGGGTCTGCGGAGGGGAGGAAGCTCGGGGAGTTATAATACCACACAGTTCGCCACTCCAAAGCAGCCATTTTCTCCAGGGGAACGGGTCTCTGTTGGTGTAGTTTGCCAATTTGGCGTGCTGGTTAAGTGTGCGGACTCTCATCTGGGAGAACCGGGTGTGATTCCCCCACTCCTCCACTTGCACCTGGCCGGATGACCTTGGGCAAGCCATAGTTCTGTCAGAGCTGTCCTTGAAAAAGAGCCGTTTCTCTCAGAGCTCTCTCAGCCCCGCCTCCCTCACAGGGTGTCCTGTTGTGGGAAGGGGAAGGGAAAGGAGATTGTAAGCTGTTCTGAGACGCCTTCAGG